GCCATTTATTTTTAAGTGATTTCACATAATAAAAATATGAAGTCTAAATTAAATTAATCCTTCTACTGTTCACTCTTCCAGATTCCCTCTTGGAAAACGATGTTTCATCTTCAATTGTTTAACTTCAACTGGAGTTGGAAGACCAAAATAATTTAAGTTATATAATAATATAATTACTTTACACTAATACTATTTTATATTTTCCAAAGCACTTTCCCCTTATTGAATTTTGTCTCAAAACAAATCTAGTTATTATTATTTTCCTTTGGATACATAACAAAAATGATGCACTAAAAGGTTAATTGGTATAATTTTAGTTACACCATATAATTAATTAGAAAGCTAAGGCTGGACTGAGTATTTGTATGATAGAGCTTTTAAAAATTTTTTAAACTTTGTTTACCTTTACTTATTTATTTTTATTTAAAAGTCAGAGAGACAAAGCTCTATCCACTGGTTCTCTCTCCACAATCCACAATAGCCAGGGCTGGGCCAAGCCAAAGTCAAGAGTCAGGAACTCAATCTGGATCTCCCACATACATGTCTCCCTGAGTACACATTAATAAAAAGTTGGAACTGGAAGTAGAGACAGGACTTGAACCTGGTATTTTGAAGGAAATGAGTCAGGAGTGCACCTTTACCAGATAACTCTAAGCCCCTTTGTGAATAGTTCACAGAGGCTGGTGCCATGGCTCAATAGGCTAATCCTCCCCCTGCGGTGCCGGCACCCCAGGTTCCAATCCCGGTCGGGGCGCCGGATTCTGTCCCAGTTGCCCCTCTTCCAGGCCAGCTCTCTGCTGTGGCCAGGGAGTGCAGTGGAGGATGGCCCAAGTGCTTGGGCCCTGCACCCCATGGGAGACCAGGAGAGGCACCTGGCTCCTGCCTTCGGATCAGTGTGGTGCGCCGGCCAAAGCGCACCAGCTGTGGCGGCCATTGGAGGGTGAACCAACGGCAAAAGGAAGACCTTTCTCTCTGTCTCTCTCTCTCACTGCCCACTCTGCCTGTCAAAAAAAAAAAAAATAGTTCACAAACACTGTCAATCATGGGACACCTTTCTATATTCCAAAAGAAGTTATGGAAACAGTAATTATATTGTCAATGAAGTCTTTGGGGGAATAATGAAAAATCAAGAATGTATCATTAAATGCATCATCTGATAAATAGGTAAGTCTAAGGAACATTCTCATTAAGAATAGAACGTGGTGGTTAACCTGGTTCATGGATGTTTTTTAGTAAGTGGAGGTGTCCTAGGTTAAGATCAGAGGCCCGAAGACAGGGAGAGAAGGGCTGTTTTAGGGCCTCTTCCATCCTTCAATAGCTGAAACAGGATTATACAACAGGTGCCTATCAAGTCAATGCTACATGTTACTGGGAAATGCAATTTTTTTTTTTTTATTTTTGGACAGGCAGAGTGGACAGTGAGAGAGAGAGACAGAGAGAAAGGTCTTCCTTTGCCGTTGGTTCACCCTCCAATGGCCGCCACGGCCGGCGCACCGCGCTGATCCGGTGGCAGGAGCCAGGTACTTATCCTGGTCTCCATGGGGTGCAGGTCCCAAGCACTTGGGCCATCCTCCACTGCACTCCCTGGCCACAGCAGAGAGCTGGCCTGGAAGAGGGGCAACCAGGACAGAATCCAGCGCCCCAACCGGAACTAGAATCCGGTGTGCCGGCGCCACAAGGCGGAGGATTAGCCTAGTAAGCCGCGGCGCCGGCCTAAATGCAAATATTTTAAGGGCATTAACACCAGGACATTAACACCAATGACTGGAGAGGATGATTTTTTTAATATTAAATTCTCTGTAAAAATCCTAAGGCCAGACATTCAAAATTATTCATGGTCTCAAGGCTTCAGGTGTCTCCTATGACTTCAAACAGATATCAGCAAATACAAATCTCTAAGAATCCAGGGATTTTCCAGGGCTGGTATATCAATTCCTTCTTTGTAATTTTTTTAAAATTTTTTTAGTGGAGACACACACACACACACAGAGAAGAAGGGAAGAAGGGAAGAAGGGAGGGAGAAAGAAAGAGAGAGAGAGAGCGAGCGAGTGAGCTCCCATCCATTGGCTCATGTTCCAAATTCTTACAATGTCTAGGACTGGGCCAGGCCAAAGCCAGGAACTCATTTTAGATTTTCCATGTGGGTGGTAGGAACCCAATTACTTGAACCGTTTCTATTGTCTCCCAGGGTCTGCATTTGAAGGAAACTGTAATAAGGAGGCAGTGTTGGGCACTGAATTCAGATACCCCAATGTGAAACACAGGCATCTCCACTACCATGCTAACTACTCAGCTGGTCAGTATATCAATTCTGAATACACAGTTACAAGAAGGAGACAAGGCCTCAACTCATTTCTGACAATATGATTTCAAGCAAGATGATATTAAGTAAAGTCAAAAAAATACCCTCAATTGCTGCGGGTTATAAGAAGAACTTACAGTAATATTTTTTTCTGAGTAAACTCAGAAAGCTAAGAGTCATAAACAATGTTGTGGTTTGCAAACATTTCATCATTAGTAAAGGTAAATTTGAAAAAAAGAAGAAATTTGGCTCCATTCAGGATATAAAAATCAAGGCATAAACAAGAAAGTACCAGTTCAGACTTAGGATACTAGAGTTGTTTGTTATGATTCAGCCTCCTAGCTCCAGTCTAATTCCACACAATAATATCTCTCAAAAAGAGAAAGAACAAGCCCAAGAGGGATATGCAGCAAAAGCTTTAGGTCAGACTTCATCCACTAATGCACAAGTAGCATAGGCTGAGCTCTTCACTGAGTCAGCTTGTGCTGCTGTAATAGATCACCTAGAACAGATGGCTTAAACAACAAATACTTATTTCTCATAGTTCAAGTTGCTAGAATATCTGGTTCATGTGAGGGGCTACTAGTATATTCTTCATAGTTTTAGTGAAAAATGCCTTCCCAAGTCCTTCCAGATCACACAGAGTCAGTTGGCAGAGTCTCTTGTCTCACATAGTGAACTCTTCTTCTTGAACATCAGAATACTAGATGTGCTACTCTGTCAGGGTAGTGCTGCCATCTCCACTACAGGCCATTCTTAGCTCCAAGATTCAAGGACTCATTTTAAGAACGTATTAGGACTGACTCCAGACATCCTGATCAGGGTATCATATTCTATGTCAGCTGTCCCATATCAATAAATTCTTCCATATTAAGTTTCTAGTCTGTCCACATCAAGCCCTCTCCCATAATCCAAAGCTCTCAAAAATTCCTATGGTGCATGCTCTCCTAGTTCTTACTGATACATACTAGCCAGGTTCTAAAGCTCGTTGGGTAAATTATCTGCTTCCTTAAATGAAGGACTAATAATTCTCTACTTGATCTATGTTGAAACCTAACTCCAGCCACTTATCTAGAAGCAATGAGAGGAGGTGAAGGTAGATCTTAAGAAGGAACAAAATCATTTTGTGAGGCATCTGCCCCAAGAGAGGTCTTTGTGTGGCAGAAGAGCTAATTTCCCTAATGATAAGTGCAAAATTGTATATTTTTAGCAGCAAACAGAAACCTCACATTGGTTCCTTAACCTATTGAATAGATCCATAGTGATAGGAAAGGCTAAGTGAAAGTCCCTTAAATACCCCCTGTACCCTGAATAAAACAGTAATTCAAACGTAATCAACATTTCAGTTGGGATGGTAGAGCTTTCTGCCATCCGTAAGTCTAAAAGATGGAGGAATGATGGACCCCCATCATATTCTCCTTTAATTTACTGGTATGGCCCCTACAAAAATCATGTTGATGACAGCCAATAATAATGGACTATCATAAAATTAACCAAATGGTAGTCTTAATTGTACTCCTGTATCATATGGAGTTTTACAACTAGAACAATCAACACAGCTGCTATTGAACTGTAAAATGAATTTTTAGCAATCTTTATCAGGAAAGAGGATCGAAAGCACTTCTCATTCATCTGGATGGACAGCAGTGCCGGTTCAGAGTCTTGCTCCAGGTCCATTTCGACTCTCCTGCTCTCTGTTACACTACAGTCTACTGAGCACTCCACAGTACATCAGGCTGCTCCACTAGGAAGATGGTAATCAAGCTAGTGGACATGAAGCAGTAAATGCTCCAGATGCTGAGGTAAGTCATATGAGACTGTGGACAGTAGATAAACCCTAGAAAACTGCAAGGTACATCAGTGACAGTTTTATGGTCCAGTGTTTTTAAGGCATGCCAGGACATTCTTTCAAAGTAAGTTATTATACCATGTGCTTTCTACCATAAAGAAAGGGGCACAATGCTTGAGTTCTCTTTGGGTTTGAGAGACACTCTGTCAATCAAGTTCACTATTTCAAGTTTCTTGCTCCTGGAGTGGCATAATTTAGAGATATGTTACACTCAATCTCTCAGAGGGCCCCCAGTAAAATTGAGTCCCAGTTATCCATAAAATAGTAACCTACTCATTAACACAAAACTTTTAATTTACTTTTCTTCTTACCCTGTTCTCTGTATCACTCCCTACAATGACTCCTGGGATTACCTAATAAATAAATTACACTCCAATCATTGTTCCAGATCTTCTATTGAAGAAACCCAAACAAAGTCAGTACATAAGCAAAAACAAGAAAAGCGGTTGCAAAGTTGTTGAAATAAGCCAGGTTTTCAGATTATGATGGCCCTATTAAGATGGTACAGTAGTTATTTAAATAATTAACAGGGACGCCATCACAGTGAGGCAGCTTCAGTGCCCCAGGTTGCTACAGCAGCAAACTGAAACTCAATTCCATGTACACAGTCTTAACCAATCAGAAATCATCAACTTCTAAGTAAAACCTTTCTATTACTAAGTCTTTTTAAGTATAATTTACAGGAGACCAATGCTTTGGACTAGGCTCCGGTAAACCAGGTCAAACCAGAACAGAATCACTTACACTAGCTGTGTCACAGAATCAAACTGAACTCAGAGCATGTCATTTAAAACAACAGAAGCAACAACAGAAGTGTCACAGTAACCAATAGAAAGGGAAACATCTTACCTGAGCCAGCCTAATAAGGAAGTCATTTGGCTTAATAAGGAAGTCCTTTTTCCTTTGCAAGGAAAATGACTTTGAAAATACCAATCTGCTTTTTGGTCTTTGCTTCTGCTTTCATCATTCCTTTTCTGTTTATAAAGCCAAGCTCCTCTGCACATTCTACATCTGATTCTAGAATTACAAATAAGAAACAATAAAAATCTTTAAATGTAATTTTTTCTCATGGCTAATCAGAAACCATCTCTAAACTTTAAGCAACTTTAATCAAGTATTTGCTTTCTTCTATGTTAACCCTTGAAAAGCCACCCCCTTATGCCCTTGTGTTGGAGTTCTGAGCTGCTGATAGTCTGGCGTTGCCCCATTCATGAATCACTATCTATTCAAATAAGCTCTTTATAATATTATTTATTCATTTTTATTTATTTGAAAGGCAGATCAATAGAGGGGGTGAAACACAGACAGATAGGTAGATAGACATTGATCTTTCATCTGCTTGGTTGTTCCCAAATACCTGCACCATCCAGGCCAAAACCAAGAGCCAGGAACTCCATTTGGCTCTCCTGGTGGGTAGCAGAGATTCAAGTACTTGAGCTTTCAGCTGCTGCCTCCCAGCAGGTGCACTAGCAGGAAATGGGATTGGAATCAGAGGTGGGACTCCATCCCAGGTACTCTGTTATAGGATGCAAGCATTCCAAGTGGTGGCTTAACTCACTGTGCCAAAACAACAGCTTCCAGATCTTTAAATATTGAATGTGCCAATGTTTATCTTTTAATACACTGAAGGTAATTGGATTCAGTGAAAAGTGACTGGGTTCTGGATGTATTTTGAAGTTAGATGTGTGAAGGTGAATGTGTCAGAAGAGAAAGAAGGAGTCCAGGATGTCTCTAGAGATTTTACCTGGATTAACTGGAATGATCAAGTTTCTTTTAAGTGAGATAGAAAAGACTCAGGCAAAGCAGATTTTCTGGGAAAGACATAGAGTTCAATTTCAGTCAGCTTAAGTTTGAGATGCCTAGTAAATATTCAAGAGAGACTTTCAAATAAGCAGTTGGATATGTGATTCTATAGTTCAGGAGGAAAGCCACACAGAGAAATAAATTTGAGTGCCATTGGCATATAAATGATATTTTAAGCAATGAAATCAGATAACCAATAGAGTGATTTTAGAATGGAAAAGAAGAAAAATAACTTCTGATCACTAGAGCCCTCCATTGTTAAAAGCAGGAAAGTGGGGACAGACAAAGGAGGTTAAAAAGAAGCTATTAGGGCATAGACCATGTAGCTTTAGGCATTCAGCCTATTGGTTAAGATGTTGGTTTGGATGCCTGCGTCCCATACAGAGTGCCTAGATTTGAGTTTCAGCTCTTCTCTCAGTTCCAGCTTCCTTCTAATGTGCATCCTGAGAGGCAGCAAGTGATGGGAGAATGACTTCAGCCCAGCCCAGCAGACCCCAGTTCATGCATTATTTGGGGAGTGAACCAGCACATGGGAGCTACCTCTGTGTGTGTGTGTGTGTGTGCTTCTCACACAAAAGAAGCTATCACTGGAGTAGAACAAAATTCAGGAAATGAGATACCCAGGAAGTTGCGAGGGTGGGAGGGAGGGTCAACAACAACAACAACAAAATAAAACAGGATATCAAAGAGGAAGGAGTAATCATAAACACCTTTTTGAACTGTGCCGATAAGTCAGGTCAAATAAGAACTGAATATTTATCAGTGGATTTAGCAATGAAAAGCACAGCTTAACCCAGATGACAAGTTGTTGGTGTCTAAAGATATTATGTGGCTCCACTTCATGTCTCCAATGAGATCCAATGAATATCTGAGCAGTGCTAGAGATGAATGCAATATAGCCATACAACCATTATCAGAAAGATGGGGAGACTATGCATGAAAAGAAGATAGGTCTCTAAAAATGATTTCTGGTTAGTTTCAAATTTTGCCTAAGGTCAGAGATGTCAGTGTCAATAAAACACTGGAAGTAACATGAAAGGCAAATAAAGAGCCTCTCCTTGATACCCTGGGGGTAGGTGTGGAGGGAATATAATAACTCAAGAATCTCTTTGCAGTCAAGTCAGATTAATTTACTAAATGGTTTTAGTGATGGATTTTGCTGGAAAATAATTTTGATAGTAGATTCTACTGAGTAACAGTACCTAAATTTCCAATTGCAGTGAGGGAAATTTAGGTACTGTTTCCCCCCATATATTTACCTTCCCAGTTTGTCACCCTTAGAAGCCTAAAACCTATTTTCACTATTCCATCCCTACTCTACAAATGTGCTGTTCCTTGTTGAAGACTCTATCTGATGGAACAAAGACATAGCCTCAGCTATTTTAAGTTCTTGTCACCCCTGCATTCTTTCAGAGTCTCACACCTTGTGTTGTTCCCCACCCCACCCTCTGCATGTTTTTCCAGGTTATGAAAGCCTGGCACCAAACCTAAATGGGAGAACTCTGTCTCTTGCACACCAGCCTCCATTGTAGACTAGCACATCTAAGATATAAAAAGGCCCTCTGCCATGTGTTGGATATATGTGTACAACAGCAGTTGGTCACCCACCACAGTACCAAACAAAAACTAAGTTGTTATTTGACTTCCTCAGGAATCAGGAGGGAATGGTAATAGCCAAATTTTCCAACCAGGATAATTTCAATAGGCATGATAATAAAGTTTTCTCTTGCTTTAATTCTTACCAACAAAAAGTAGGCTGACGTTAACCAATTAGTTGATTTACTATTCTGTATCCCTGTTCTCAGCTTATAAGGGAAGTAGCTTTGAAGTGACCAATGCACTTTCCATTATCTGTTTCTGCTTTTTTCAGTCCCTTTTCTGTCCACAAAGCCAATCTTATCTGCTGAGTTCATACTGCATGGAATGAAGTGCTGCCTGATTCCAGAATTACAAATGAAGCCAATTAAGATATGTATTTGTTAGTATCTCATCACTCCAGTGAAATAGCTAAGGTATCTGTATAAGGAGAAAATGCTTATTTATTTCATAGTTTTGGAGGTTCAAGTACAAGACTGGACAACCCCATTGAATTGTCCTCTGATGGGGATGTTGGGTAACAATGGCAGAATCCATGCAGAGGAAGGATCATGTGGCAAGCCAGGAAACAGAGAGAGCAGTTGGGACCAACTTAGACTTACTTTATAATCAAGTGTCTCATGAGAATTGTCTTCCAAAGGCATGCCCCCAAAGATCTACCTAAAAACCAGCAGCCATAATTGAATTAAGTTTCTATACTCTTAGTATCATTAATTTTTGATTCTGTGGTTTTAGACATCCACATGATGGGGGGGGGGCAAATCCTATTCAAAATATAGAAAGATTCTGCCGGCGCCGCGGCTCACTAGGCTAATCCTCCGCCTTGCAGCGCCGGCACACCGGGTTCTAGTCCCAGTCGGGGCGCCGGATTCTGTCCCAGTTGCCCCTCTTCCAGGCCAGCTCTCTGCTGTGGCCAGGGAGTGCAGTGGAAGATGGCCCAAGTGCTTGGGCCCTGCACCCCATGGGAGACCAGGATAAGTACCTGGCCCCTGCCATCAGATCAGCGTGGTGCGCTGGCCGCAGCGCGCCGGCCGTGGCGGCCATTGGAGGGTGAATCAACAGCAAAGGAAGACCTTTCTCTCTGTCTCTCTCCCTCACTGTCCACTCTGCCTGTCAAAAAAAAAAGAATCAAAATATAGCAAGATTCTTAATGTAAGTTGTAATTTTGCCATTTGACATTTTTAAGAAAAGATTAATGAGAAAAACAGTTTACTGATTGCATGTAACAGATCACACAAGAGAAACTTCAATGAAGACTAACTCAATTTGTGGCTTGGAACTGGCTTATATAGTGTAAGGAAAAGGGGCATAGCTCAGAGGAGACAGGATTCAAACTCACAGCCACACCAAATCTATTCAACTGATTGGTTAACATCGGCCTATTTTAAATTCCTTTTTTTTGTTGGCAAGAATTAAAGCAAGAGAAAACTTTATTATCATGCCTATTGAAATCATCCTGGTTGGAAAATTTGGCTATTACCATTCACTCCTGATTCCTGAGGAAATCAAATAACAACTTACTTTTGGTTTGCTTCCATGGAACTTTAAAATTAGTGACTCCATTTTGGTTATTGGCCTGGTCACTTAGCAAATTTAAACTATGGTTTGATTCATTATTTCAAACACCGACATAGATAAAAAGTTTCAAGAAAATAAATATACTTTCTCATATATAATGTCCACTACCCCAGCTGAAATTGAGGACAAAGTGGCTTCTGATGACCTGTGAATAAGATGGGGCTTCTCTTACAGAGCACGTACTTCCTTCCTGAAATCTCTTCTTTAAAGGGCATCTGCTTTTTCAAGGCCTATGGGCTCCAGACCCTTTCCTTCACCTTTTCCCAAAGTCTTCCCACAGAAAAAGATCTCTCATTGCTCATTTGCATCTTGTTGGAAATGTAAATTGATGTGTTAAGTGTCCCAGGGCATTTGCAGGCTAAACTGAGAGACTCTGGTGGAATGAGAGATTTTGTTCTCAAGTAAAGTGATGTTCAGCTTCAGGGAGAAGGATTTCACATATTTGAGTTCTATACTAAGTGGCTCTGGGTCTTTCTTATCCTCTTTCTATCGATAAAATAATGCTAAATATATTCTGATTTTCTTAAGGGTTATTTTGAAAACAAAATGAAATAGTGTATTTGAAAGTACCCATAAACCATAAAGTACTACACAAATGTTAATGCTATTATTAGTAAATTTTACCAATTCAACATTCATTGACATTCAGGGCAGATCTGGAAAATCCTTATTCATAACTCCCAGATCTCTCAAACAGAGCTGTTGTATTCTGTTCTACATTCAGTAGGAGTTGTAATTCCATGTAGACTTAGGAACAGGTTCAAACTAGTTTCTTTAAGAATAAAACAATACATTTGTCTTGAAATGATTTTATTTTGTAATCTTTTTGAATTTTCTCTTTGGTCTCAGTGGGAATCTTCTGAGCTTTCCTACTTTTATTTTCCTATATGACTTGAAATTATTTCCTGCCTTACCCAAGAGCTGAAAATAGATTATTTATTAAAAACAACTCATCTTCATTTTCAGTAAAAGTTGATTAGATCTTTCATTATCTCTTAATTGTGAAAAATGATTTATTATTTCTTATAATTGAAATATAA